AGAGGCTGCAGCAATGAAGCATCAGTTCGAAAGTAATATCTGGATGGGAATAATTGGCGATCACATTAAGAGTTAGTGTTAAAACTCTTAGGGTGTCTTATGTACATTTTCAGTAGAATTACCTTGAATACTATTGGCTGTACCATTGACAGTGTAAAAAACTGTGGTTTACGCAAGGCTAAGCTCCTGTTCATTTTACCTGCAACATAAAGTGGCTTCTGGCCTCTCATCACACACATTGATGGATGAGATAAACCAAATTGACTTTGTGGCCTCTGTGGCCCGATTTCACATCTACCAACTCCTACCTGTGGGGGAATCTGAACGGCATAATTTTGTTGGAAAGAGTCAACATGAATTACTACCTTTGGCATTTGATTCAGTGGCTGGGACAACAGTAGCACATATGACTGGAATTTTTCATTGCACTACTATCAGGAATTCTTGGTGCATCAGTGGTCATTTATGCACTCAATGGAAGAAGCAGCATTTTCAGAAAAGAATTGGGGGGGGGGAGTCTTTTTAAAAGTTAAGATGCTGTTAAACTATGCTTAAGTACAAAAATGAATGTGCTTTTAATAAGCTGTTTTACTTGTCTCATTTGATTTACTGATGCTTCCAAGTCTCACTAATCAAGTGGTTGCAACCCTATGTTTATAATAATTTTTTGGGTTTCCTTTAAGAAAAAAACACAATCATTATGTTTGATGCATACAATTAAGAAGAACCAACTATTTGGTCATTTCTAATTATCTGCATAAGTTACCCAAAACACTGATCTAGAAGACATCCTATTGTTATATTTCAGAAGAATTATATAAGTGCTTAATGATGCACTACCAAATAATTTGTGTCGTAAAAGAGCTTAACCTTTTCCTCCATATATTTTTACAGTACCATTTTATGTACAAACTTTCATATAAAGTATCCTCAATGACTTTCATGTAGTCGGGTTATCTTGCATGAGGCATCTTTGCAGATTACAGACGTTTAAAATACCACCTGTTAATATATCCACTTAACCAGTCAAGTGCAGGAGACTACGAGTTGCATTTGAGAAATCACTATTTCCAGCCAAAGAGTGGAGGACATATTCTTTAAAACTGAAATCAATGTTCTTCCTCTCCAATTGTGCAGACAATTAAAAAGGAAATTTCCCACATGCCTGTTTCAATCACATTTACATTGGGAGAATAACAGGGACATGACTGGAACCTGCAGCAAACATTCTAGGTGTTGAACGGTGCAGCTTGTTGTTTTCCTAATCATGTTGAATGTTTTCAAAAGATGTTTACAGTAGGAAGAAACAATCAGCATTCTAATACACAGAGTTTAAAACTAAGACTTTTTCTCTCTATAACTTTAAAATAACATTTTGTACTGTGATGTTTCCTTTGGTACAATGAGAGGTCTAAATACAAATTTATAGAATCAAAACTCTATCCAAGAAGACATTCTAAGAAGAAGATTCTAGATTTGGTGTGGTAGGAATAAGATTCATATTCGAAAATAAATTAGGATTTGATTAGCCAAGAACTTCATTGCGTCTTCAGTTTCCCACGCATAAGGTCAATATGAATGTAAATTTCTCTTTGCATAAGAATCATGGTTTGAGGTTGTCTCAGCAGTAGATGGAAGTGAGTGATCAGCTTCATTCTCCAGGTGATATACATTGTGAAAAGGAACTCAAGGACTGAGTAGGAGATTGGGTGGACTGCAGAGCTGGCCTGGATGTTGTTGATGAGAAAATTCCTGCTCTTTTCATGAATGGAATCCCAGTTATCCATCATGCCCATTCCATCCAGGCTCCTACATTGAGAAACGGGGGTTCATGAATGTAGTTGCATTACTGTCTTATTCAGCAGCTAAAATTGCAAGGAACTTTGTCACAACACCTTCAAAATGTGTTGTATTGGTACATAGATCTCTGTCATGCCCTCCTCTTTCGTTCTGCTTAACACCTCATCATGCTTTCTTGTAATTAAAAAACACATTTATGCGATTCTGAATGACACGATTGGTTTTTAACGACAAAATGTCAGTGTTTTAATTTAATTTGCATTTAAATTGGTGTTCCTGTTGAATACCAGGGTGGTATTTGTGAATGAGCAAGGTTAACAGTTGTGGATTCATAACCTTAAAACTTCCTAATTTTCATCAAGCCTGTCCTGTTCTTCCTGATGCTTCCAACGATTCTGTACGAATCTTTACAATTTGGTGACTAATTGCATGAGGTAAGTTAAAATGGTGTGTGTTACTAGTAAGTCAATATGTGTGAAATTCCAACTTAATGGCAGGTTAGGTGAGTTAGTTCAATTGAAAAAGTTTGATAGGCTTACAAAAAGTAAATAAACCTCAAAAACAAGAACGGGTAAACGTGGTCATTAACTGCAAGAATATTTCTGATATTTCTTTCATACTCTTTAAGATATTTACAAGTTGTCTTGGACCCAAAATTCAAAAGCTATGGTTGGCAAAGGAATAAACCAACCAGTGAATCGGAATGCAGGATGCGAGTGATAGCAAGGGAATGAAGGAAGCTGATGGTCATACTCATACAAGAGGCATATAGTATATTCGTTGCAAGGCTGTTATACTTTTATCCGCATTAATGAGATGAAAAGGGAAATACACATCTTTACGTGGGGCACTGAAATGGTAGAGTGAGTACTTTATAGTGACATAACTATTGCTCTGTAACAGGAAACATGCTATTATGGTATAAAATTTAGGTTAAAACTTTGTTAGTTTTGATTTTAAAAGTAATTAGTTGTGCTGATATTACTGGTCCCGCTATTTAAGTAAAGAGCTTGCTTATATTTGCATGATGTTTTGATGCCTTTAGTTATCCATACATTGGTTTCAGACAATTTTTTCTGTCTCAGTAGCAAAACTTTTTTCAAATATGATTAAAAAGATGTTTAGAAAAGAACTGAACTTTGAATCTATATCACGATCACTGAGTATTAATTTCCAGTCTTCACTACCGTTTCGTATAAATTCATTTATAAAGTGACTTCATTTATCACTCCAGTTACCTTTTTATCATTGCAAAAGTTAGAAATACGTTTATGCTTTTTATAACTAATAGCTGAGCATCATGATCAGACAGCCCATTTATTACCGGTTTAATTGAAATGAGTTCTAACCTGAAACTATCTACAAAAATATTAACAACGGCAGAGTTGGAGCTATTAAGATTAAATGTTACTGAAAGAGAATTTAGACATTTCTTACGGCAGCTTTCAGAGAGATAGTCAACATTTATATCCCCACAGAAACAAATTCCGTTTTCGGTTTGAAAAGGTAGTCTATAATGCTGTTTAACTTGTTAATAAATGTTTCAGAGTCACCTGTTGGTGCTCAGTATATTGCTATAAAACAATTTAGACAAATTAGTATCAAATTGTACAGCACGGCATTCTACGATTACATTATTACAATATCCTATTTCAGGTAGTGTCTTCCCACACGTTTTTGGAATCGACTAGGCTTCAAAATATTTCTTTGTACGTCAAGAGTCCGTTCGACTCTATCACGGAGATATTTAGTGACTTCGTAATAGATAGAGACGAAAATCTTGGTGGCTTTGGTTGCTCTCCTCTGAGTTGTAGCGCCGTGCAGTGTGGAAGAAGCTATACCAAGGTATAAGTGGTCCTAGCTGCCTTCATCATCGCCTTGTTCGTAAAGGCAGCAAGGACATATGAAATCTTGGTAAACCCGCGAACCCAGCGTTTTGAAATCGTAATACCCAACTTAGTGTCTTACGTTGGCAATAGTATCCTGCCACACTGCTGACTGTTTCCGAGAGCACTCTGGTGGCAAGAACAGTTGGAAACACCTGCTATTTGGCCCAACCATTTAGTTTAGCTGCTTCTCTGCAGCCATTACGGTGCTTTGGAGATTTCTAACCTAACTGTTAAAGTTTAAGGCATTTTCTGCTGTCTTTCTGCCTTCTTTAATTCTGTGTTTGAATTTGAAGAGAATATAAAAGACAGCTTCAGCTAAACTCTCGCCTTTTCTTTTTTTTTTACCTTTCCCTCCCTCCCGTGTCGTGGTGATAGAGCAGTATTCGAACTTCGTGTTAGTTTACTAGCTCTCACCCAGAGTAAATTGCTCGACCTGCAAACGCGCCTGATTCTTTCCATAATCTGGTGCTAAGGAAGAGCATACACACCCATTCTCTTATTTTTATATGTGTTGTATTTATGTGCATTATGTATATGTGTTGTATTTATGTGCATTATGTATTTGCCAGTAAAATGTAACAATTTAATCAAAGCAAGGAAGTTCGTTACTGCCACTAAAGTTTGTGTGTTATATTAAAGCCAAATAACTTTGAGAGAAACTGCTCCAGTGCCACTTTGCCTACCACAAATCTCCAGGATGATCTGACATGCGACTGGTATGAGAGCCAAGACAAAGTTTTTTCAATGATAAAACCTTGCACATTCTCTGGATGATGCTAAATTCTTAATCCACTTTCAAAGCAATAGCATAAAATAAGTATAGATATGCAATGAGTACACCAAACTAGACGTCTGTTTTCAGATCATATCATGTATTGAAACCTTATTAAATAAATATGAAAAGGGTAATGGTTATTGTTTTCAGTTGTGTGGCTAGTAGTGTGCTACCAGTCTGCTAAAATTTGAGGAATACGTGATGTTTTCTTGTCTGCTTTCCATACAAGCTTTACTGTTTGCTGGAATGTGGCTATCAATTATGCAGCCTGAATGCTACACCATTTGATCACATTTTCATGCACTAGAGGAGCAGAATGTTTCATCACTAGACCAGAGGTTCCAGCCATCGCATTCATGCTTGCTTCAGAGAAGAAAAAAAGAGAATTTGCCGTTTAAGCACAGAACGACTGTGACTCAGTTGAGCTGTGTTGTGTCCAGGTACTTCTCCTTTCACAAAAGATTCTTGTAATGATGGCAAATTAGCCCCTTTGTTTTAAGAATATTATTTTTGTTATCCTTATACTTTTTGGTACTAAAGAGTGAGTTTGTGGGAAGTAGATAAAAATGTTATTAAAGATATTTTTAGAAGAAACCGTTGTTAAGAAGAAAATGAAAATAATACAATATGGGAGACTCAGCCCACCTTCACCCAGCCTTAAGAATGTATGTAAGGACAAGTAAAGAAATGTACTCCAGGAATTTTATGTTTTGCTGCATTACCCATGGTTAATGGCTTGGAATAATCTGAAAAAACTGCCTAGATGGCCATGCTTGCTGCTTGAAGAAAGTCTAAATATTTCTATTTGAGGTGCCTCTCCTAACCTCATAACTTCACAAAAAATAAAAAATATAATGGAGAAATGTTTAGATGATTGAAAGGGTTGTCTGTTGCCATTTAGAGGTTATTTTAAATATGAATCACTCCTTGATAGAGGCAACTATATAGAATCTTCGCAACTGCTAGAAGATTATGATCCTCTCCTGAGTGACCACTTAGAGGCAGCCACTGTTTTCAAGGGCACATATTCGGTCTTTCAGAATGATTATATTAAGGCCGTCCATGAAGTGATACTAGATGGCATTTTATGGCAGATATAAGAACCACTTAATAAAGGATGAAACTTTAGATATTATTTTCATATTGATGTACATTCATGATGGTAAGAGGTTTTCTGCTAAAACACTTTCTTTATCTGGTTTTTAAATGCTGACATTTTGTTTCATATAATTGCAGAAGGTGTGATTATAGATTACATCCACAAAATAAGAGAATTTCAGTCACCTACAAAATGATCATGACAAAGTGTTCTCACGTCTGTGACCCAACTCAAAGCAATGAAGAGGGTAAAATTGCACATGGGATATTCTGTAGGGGGAAAGTGCAGAATACTTTTTCACAAAATTATTGAGAACCAAATCGGTCATCTGTCAGCTTCTCTCTGAAGCAGTGAAATATTTGATCTTCTAGTTTACTAAATATGTAGATCAAATTATCCAATGGCAGTAGCTTGAGTAGCAGTCAGTTTGGCACTATACGAACTAACATTGCAGTAATACAGGGAAGATTAGTGTGGCCCCTGCACAAGGATTACATGGAAGATCGTGAAGCGTTTCGTAATTTTAATGTATTGTTAAAACTAATATCTCACTGTTTACAGTGGGCATTATAGTTTATCATATAACAACAAATGTAACTTGACTACAGGTCATAATTGATTTTGTTAGGTGAACGTTATTTGGAGAAAGTTTAAATACTGATCAATGAATGAGAGCCTGAGTGACATAC